TGATATTTTTAATGTAATTGAAAGTCATTTATTTAAAATTTTTAGCAAAAACATGATTAAGTGAATGATTGTTTGTGAAAATAGACTTGAAAATGTGATTGCAAGTTAGTGAACTAATTCTATCATTTATTTTGAATTTTATGCATGTAGGAAGGTTCAATTTATGGGCCCAAAGATGAAAATTTTAAAGCCCAAGTTAAAAGAATTAAATTTGAAAAGAAAATCTAAACAGGTCATGAAAAAATACGTTTCACTGCAGCGAAATGTGATTTTAGTAAAACGCACAGTTTTGATCTTTAGCAAACTTTTAAGGTCTGAACACCTTATTTTTGACCATTCCTGATCTCTATCTACTGCAAAACGTTCAGGGAGAGCAAAAGGAACCAAATGAGGGTCGAAGAAGCTTGGGTTTGGTGAAAAATTAAGGGTTTTACTCAAGATTTTTTTGATTAAGCTTTTCTTCTCTTTTTTTTTTTCTCTTTACTTTAATGTACAAAATCATGAAAGCTATGTGTGGCTGATTTTCTCTTAATCTAGGGTAGCTATTAATTGATTATTGGATTAGAGCATTTTTAAACTATTTATTTGAGCTTAATATTAGTTTTGTTTACTTAATCTTCTGCATATTTGTCTACTTAATGTTTGGCCACCATTGAGTGTGAATTTAGAGGTTTAGGTTTTGCCTTGAAAGAGAAAAATTTGAATTAGACTATTAGATTCAATAATATGGGATTAAAATTTATTCTAATATGCCAATAAAATAGGAATATACCTATTAGATTCATATAATCCCTTGTTGCCTCTTGGGTGTTTATGTTAGGAATAACATATTAATTCAAGAGAAGGGTGTAATTAATCAAAAGATAATTATTCTTATTAATACTCTAGATTAACAAATTAATTTTAAGTTAATTTATTTGGATAATTATATGCTCTATGAATTAAAAAGGGATTAGCCATCCTATATTGCCTTAATTGTTTGTGGTTGTTGAAATTTTAATTTTAGTGGATTCATATAATTTTAATTTCTTATTTTGCAATATCAAATCCAAACATATAATTTTAATTTCTTATTTTTCAATATCAAATTCAAATTTTGTTTAGCTTGACTTACATTAAAATGAAAAATTTATTGCCTAATTATCAATTAACTTGATTCTCTGTGAGATCGACCTTGATTTATCATTTACTATTTTACAACCCGTACACTTGCGGAATTCATTACACATTTGTGAGCATCAAAATCCATAAACCTATATTTAAAAGTTTGATCTAACTTCCTAAGATCTTAACTAAACCAAGGAGTTTGGTCAAATCTCAAGAGAAAATGAAATCAAGTCCCAACAATACTCAAATCTTATAAATTTTGCATAAAGAAGGAATGAGGAGGATAGGAAGCTTACCCAAATATATAGCAAGTTCAAATTGCCTCTAAAGTGCCCTCAATGTGAAGCCTTAGCAAAGCCCACAACCCCTTTGTTGCCTCTCTTGCGTTCTTATGCTTTCTCCCTCTGTTTCAGCCTCTACCCGCGATCTGGTTAAATCATATTTTTGCACATCCTTTACGATGCATGGTGCATCTGACATGGTGTATGGCATGGAACGACTCAACTCTCTTAAGTCGTTCTCTATACTCTAATCTACTCAAACTCTAACTTAACCCTATTTCAATGCATTCATGAACATCATTAGTCACTCATAAACATTATTAATTCATAAATCACTTATTTTGATCAATTTATTTTTCTAAACATTTAAAATTTTTGAGTTAAAAATTCAAAATGTTACACTCTAGCCAGATGAATTAAGAGCCCTTGACTATACACTGACAGAACTTTAAAATATCTTGATTTTAAGGCCCAATGTTGAAATGTTCTATCAATAATGACCACTCTTGAGCAATCCAAATGCTCCTTTAATGGGTAAATTTAACCTTACTTTGATCCTTCTTGTTGAAATTTGAGTAATAGAATCACTAAATAATTGGTCTAAGCTTGGACAAGAAAGGACGGACTAGCTGAAAGAAATATTTTATTGCAAACTGTAGCAATAATTTACGCACTTCTGTTCTTGACTTTCCACACAGCCTCAGTACTCTCTTTCCTTGTCACGTCACTCACTTATCACACACTTTGATTTCTTCAATACTCTCTTTCCTTATCACGTCACTCACTTATCACACACTCACTTTCGTTTCTTCAATCTTTCACACACTTCAATCTTTCACACTTCAATCTTTCACACTATAATGGCACAACAAGCAGAATCTTCTTTATTCACTTATACACGGAGCGTTCCTTTTCCACGGCGCAGATAGGTTTCATTGGCTGATGGTTTTCTTTTCTTTTCTTTTCTTTTTTTTAAAGTAACATTTCCAAGAAAATCAACTAGGCTTATTTGATGTACGAAAATTTGATTGATCAAAAACTTGGTCTTTGGTTTGATAGCGCTGATAATGCATCTGTGGACAAAATGGTGGGTCCCCTTTTCAATTTTCTTGGAAACAAACCAAAAAGTAAAATTTGTAATATGACTGGAGTATGATCGAGCCATGTGGTGATACTCCCTAGGTGGATATCTAGTTTCTATTATCTTATCTATGTATTATTTATACATATACACATATATCCGCGCAAAGGGGCAATGCATCTGTGGACAAAATGATGAGTGGCTTTTGCAATTTTCTTGGAAACTAACCGAAAAGCAAAAAATTAGTAACGTGACTAGAGTATGGTTAAGCCACGTGGTGTTGCTCCTTAGGTGGATGTCTAGTTTCTATTCTCTAATCCTATCCATATACAACTTATACATGCATATCTCAAATCATTAACATATAAAAGCTTGACTTATATTTATGATATAATTGAGGATTTAGACTTGTATTATATATTTTACTTTTTAAAAGATTTTAATTAGAAAAAATTAGTTAAAAAGACCTTGTTAGAACACAAATTGATTCTAGGGATCAAATATACTTGAACTTAATTTTTTATTTATTTAACAATGTCATCATTTGACCAAAATGCCCCTACCTTAAACAAAGAAATTTGAAAAAGAAAACCATCCTCTCTTCTTCCTTTCTTCACACGATTCAGAGAACCACAAGAGGATTAGAGTGCTATGCAATGGTTGATAGTGAGGGACGGATTCGACGGAGGAGAAACAATGGTCTAAGGTATGAGGGAGTTGCGATGACAGATTTTGAAAAAGACAACCTCATCGAAGAACTAGAGAAACAAAGAGACAATTAAAGTGTTGTGATGATGGCGTCGACAGAGGAGCAATTAGCGGTGTGAGTGAGGACTTGGTTGGACGAGATTAAGAATAACTGGGAAGTGGTGTACATTTTATTAATTCTTTCAAAATCAAATATTCTTTGTATTGCTTATTTTCTTGAATATTGAGTCTCCTCTCATTGAATCCATCCTCAATCATTAAGTTCAGAAACAAGTTTATGTTCGTTTAATTATTCTTTATTAGCTAAATTTTTTTACATTATGTGTGAAATAGTGTTGATTGGGAAATAGTGGATGGCAAAAACCATCATGAGACTTCCATAAATGCCTAGTATGAATACCACAAAAAACAATACTAGTTCAGTACATATACTTGGCTTTAAAATTTAAAACCTCTAACATTAAGAATATATCAATATTTTTATGTTCTCTATTTGGTACTCTTCACATGCCCTCTTTAAAAGGAAAGTATTGGATTTAATATACAAAGTGATTAAGAAGCTCTATTATCTTTATTTATAAGTTTTAAGTGTTTAGTAGTATTTTAGTATCTCATATTTTTAGCTTTTGAATATAGGCATTGGTTCTTTGAGAGAGAATTCTTGTTTTTCATGAAAACTAAATTATATTTTTTTTTGGATAAACATAACTTTTGGTCCTTGTATTTTATTCGCATTTTGCTTTTGGTCCTTATACTGTTTTTTTTATATTTTAAATATCTACACTTTTATTTTTTATTGTTTTGGATCTTTTTAAGGTCCCTATACTTTGCTCATAAAGGGACCGAAAATAATGAAAAACAAAAGTGTAGGAACTTAAAATACTAAAAAAAATGTAGGCATCAAAAGCAAGATGCGAGTAAAGTACAAGGACTAAAAGTTATATTTATCTTATTTTTTTATCTATTATCATTAATATTGCATTTTTTAGTTGATATATAAAATCACTTGTTTAATTTGTGTGGAGTAGGTAAATATAGGCAAAATACTTAACCTAAATAAGTGTCAGGATATATTTGATAGTGAAGGAAAATTTTTTAGTTTTTACAGGCATTCAAGTTGATAGTTTTAGGAGTATGTTGTTCATACATCTATTCTTCTTCTTTTGTGATTAAATTAAAGAACTTTGGCAAAAAAAGAAAAGATTAAATTAAAGAGCTACTGAACCTCTTTGAATAAGAACAAGGCTTCAAGAAATAGTCAAAATTAGAGAAACTAGACTTGTGAAAATGAGAATTTATGTGTCCAGCCTGTCCATTACGCAGGTATGTGTTGAAATGCATGTGCTTATGATCTCCTTCTATACGAGGAAGCTTCGCGGAGCTTTCGCATCATGTAACCATTGCGATCTAACCCTCCCATTGGAGTAAGTATGAATTGGTTCATGACAGCTTTATCCTTTATGATGCAGCTTGCAAGAAACTTCTGGGAAGCTTCCTAGTCAATGATACGAACAATCAAGATCAATGCTAAAAAAGATGACACAAAAATATATTTTAAGTAAACAAATGACATGAAGGGCATTTTAATAATATTGTATACAATCAATTCCTTCTCCTCACGTCCCAGGTTCACATTTTCTTCTTTCCTAGTCTCGAAATTAATGTAAAGTGATTAAGGTATTATGTATTTAAAAAAATTAATTTTGTTTATATTTAAATAAAAAAAATTCAAATTTATATTGCAATTAATAAATTTAAAAAAGATAAAATTCACGTTTCCCAACTGCCTACTTATTTTCTTTACAGTCTTGGGAGACCTCTTCTCGCTTTATTCAAGGCTTCCGCCATTTTCTTGATCTCTAAGAATTCCTCTAATATCATGCGCTCAGCTCCCTAAGATTTCATTCCAGTGGGATTTGATCTTCTTACTGTGCTCTGCGCTTTTGCCATTTAATTTTCATTCAGCTCTGCGCGTCTGATGATTAGATTATCATGACACAACAAGCAGGATCTTCTTCCATCACTTACAAATGGACTTTTGACGTCTTCCTCAGCTTTCACGGCGAAGATACTCGCTTAGGTTTCATTGGCAATCTCCGCGAAGCTCTGCGCCAAAGAGGAATTCATGCCTTTATTGATGATGAAGGCATCAGAACTGGAGAAGAAATCACACCTGCACTTTTCCAAGCCATCCGAGAATCCAGAGTAGCAATCATAGTTTTCTCCAAAAACTTTGCTAACTCGAGCTTTTGCTTGGAAGAACTTGCAAAGATTCTAGAGTGCCACAAGGAGGAAGGTCGGCTGATATATCCAATCTTTTATTATGTGGATCCATCGGAGCTTCGACGTCCAAGAGGAAGCTATGCAAAAGCATTGGCGAGACTAGAGAGACGATTCAAAGACAATCACGAGAAGGTGAAAAAATGGAGATTGGCTTTGTTCCAAGCTGCTAACTTGAAAGGCTGTCATCTCAAACCCAAGTATATTTTTCTCTCATTTTCTTGTTTACTTTTTTTTTAAAAAAAACTTCTGGGTATTATTTTAACTAGGACATGCATCTAATAAGACGGAAAATTTATGCATGGTTAATTACAATATTACTATCATATATAGAACAATCTATCCAATGAAACGAAAAAATTCCATGGAATTCTAGAAAGTTAATTCCATGCCTCTCCATAACCTCTTCCCGAATTCTGTGGCTCTTTCATTAGTTACATAACTCTTCATGAATTCTCATGAGCTTCATAAATTGTATAACCCCTATTTAGTTTTAATGTTGCTGTTTGAAATTTGGCCCTAGGAATGAGTATAAATAAGGCCTCACTCCTTATATTTCATCATTGAAGAATTGAATTTGAATATTTTCTTAAAGAAAGATTTCTATGTCTTGAGTTCTATACCGATTTAATATCACAGTAGGTTCCCAGAGACAGAGGACACTTGAAAAATTAGTTAAGTTTGACGATTTCAAAGTATACAGTAGGAGTACTGGTCATTGTCATTTTTGAAACACCAACTTTCAGGCATTTTTTAACCAAATCGATGTCGCCAACATGTTCAGCTGTCACCAAAAGCCACATGCCTATAGGAGGTTGAAGACGACCACGTCATATGCCACATGCCATACTTCAACACGTCATCCGTTCATAAGCTGCCACATGTCCTTGTGTGCCTGTCAGCATCTAGTATTCATCATTGCCACGTCATCATTGAGGTGTCCAATTAGCAACACATCAACCAACCATATTCTGACACCATCATTCCTGCCATGTCAATAGTCTAGTCAGCAAATATTTCCTGAAATTACAACTGACCCCTTAGCTTTATAAAATTTCACTTTGACCGCTACACTTTGTGGAAATTGCATATTAGCCTTGAATTTTCCAAAATTTCATTTCTAACCCTAATCTTTTACAAAATTTACAAGTTTGCCCTTGAATTTTTTGAATTGCACTCCTACTATAGAATTTTCTAAAACTACCATTCTGCTCGTACTTTATTGCAGTATTTATTTTTTCTACTCCAAGATTCCTAGCATTGCTTATTAGTCCAATTTGCCTTTAAGAGATGGAAGTATGCATATAAAGTTGAGATTGAAGATCTGAGACATCAAATTCAGGAATTAGAGGGTATTGTTGAAGTTCAACAAGCCCTACTGAATAACCAAAGAATAGATAGACAAAGGGACTTTGACGCCAGCAATTCTTCTTCTAGTAGCAACCGTAAGCACCAAAGGCAACAATTCTGTTCTAACAACATCAAGGTGGAAAGTCCTAAATTTGAGGGGAAATTTCAACCAAATAAGTTCGTATTTTGGTTTCACACTATCGAATGATTATTTGAATATAAGGAGATTTTCAAGGAGCAAAAAGTTAAAATTGTTGCAATCAAGCTTAAGAACCATGCTTACACATGGTGGGATATTTGGCTTGGATTCAGTTAAGGAATGAACACTTCTCTAAACGACCAAGTGCCATGTTGTCACGTAGAGCTCATGGGCAATTCAAGATTTGTGCAAAAGATCCATAATAAGGCATATAAAGTTTAATTGCCTAGTACATATGGCATTTCTGCAACCTTTAATGTTGTTGATCTATCTCCATATGTTGATAATAATGCTAAATTTGACTCGAGGGTGAGTCACGTCCAACTTAAGGAGAATGAAACTAAAAAATCCCATGGAATTCAAGAAACTTAATTCAATGCCTCTCCATAACCTCTCCATGAATTCTAATAACTCTTTCATTAATTACATAACTCCTCATGAATTCTCATAATCTTCATAAATTGTGTAACCCCTATTTAGTTTTAATGTTATTGTTTGACATTTGGCCCTTGGAATTATTATAAATAAGGCCTTACTCCTTGTATTTAATCATAGAAGAATTGAATTTGAGTATTTTCTTAAAGTGAGAGTTCTCTCTCTTGAGTTGTATATCATCTAGACTATAAATCCAAGATTATAATCAAGACTTGGCCAGTTTGGTTCCATTATTTTCACATTTACAATATACATACATAGCCCTTGCAAAATGTGCTTTTTTGATAATAGAAATAGTAATTGCGCATGCCCTATACTCTTACCACAACATGTAGAGGTTCTATTCAATTAATTAGAGAAATCTAGAGAAATCTATACGTAATCATACTTACATATATATTTATCACTTGTTAGATAAAATTAACTTTTCTAATAATTGGGTTTGTGTTTGAAATTATAGTATCGAGAACTTCTAATAATTTCACAACACTTATTTACTGTTTAATCATTGAAAATGAGGAACAAAACTTGTTCTATTAGTAGGAAAAGGGAAGCTGGTAGAGTTTTTTCTTTCATCAGATTAGAGTATCATAATTTGTTATTGGACTAAGGTGAATTTTTTATGAATTGTTCAGGATTTCAAAAGAACACGAATGTATCACAAAGATCATTGGTGAAGTCTCTACTAGGATTAATCATGATCTCTTACACATTAGTCGTTATCCAATTGGACTTGTGCCTCGCATGAAAGAAGTGATCTCACTTTTAGAACTTTGGTCTACCAAGGAAACTAAAATGGTAGGGATCTGGGGGGCTGGTGGAATAGGTAAATCAACAATTGCAAGAGCCTTGTATAATTCAATAGCTCATCATTTTGAAGGCTTATGCTTTCTTTCTAATGTGAGAAAAGAGTTCCAAATGCCAAATGGTTTGCCACATCTTCAAGAGACATTACTCTATAAATTAGCCATGGAGAAGGATCTTAAACTGGGTGATTTTCATGAAGGAATACCAATAATAAAACGTAGGCTTAGTCGGAAAAAAATTCTTTTGATTCTTGATGATGTTGATGAATTGGTACAATTAGAAGCACTTGCTGGGAGCTGTGATTGGTTTGGTTTAGGAAGTAGACTTGTCATCACAACCAGGAATAAACAATTGTTAGTAAGTCACACTCATGTTAAATGCATTTATGAAGTTAGAAAATTAAATAAAGAGGAATCTCTTCAACTGCTTAGTTGGCATGCCTTTAAAAAAGAGAATGTGGAGTCTGACTTCATAGAGGTTTCCAATCGAGCAATACTTTATTCTTGTGGCTTCCCATTAGCTTTAGAAGTTATTGGCTCTAATTTATGTGGTAAAGGAGTCTATCAATGGAGTCTTGCCTTGGATCAGTTTAAAGCAATACCACATGAAAGAGTTTTAGAAGTCATCCAATTAAGCTATGATGCTTTAGGAGAGTTTGAAAAAAAAGTTTTCCTTGACTTGGCTTGTTTCTTTAATGGTGAGAAATTGGGTGATGTTAAGTGTAGGTTGCTATGCCTTCGTGAAATCCAACCAGAATATGCCATCAAAGTACTCATTGATAAATCCCTCATAAAGATTGAAGGAGATTGTGTGATAATGCATGACTTGATAGAAGATATGGGTAAAGAGATTGTTCGTCGAGAATCACAAGATGAACCTGGTGAACGTAGCAGGTTATGGTTCTATAAAGACATTCTTCAAGTCTTACAACATGACACGGTAAGACCAACAACATGAATTTTTAATTTCTTTCAAAACTTTAATCATTATTGATGTATTTCCAAAGTTTGAAATGTATTGTGTGCTTTTCATTCTAAAAGGGAACTAATAAAGTTGAGGCCATAGTTTTAGACTTGCCTCAAGGCAAAGAAGTACAGTGGAGTGGAGAGGCATTCGTGAAGATGAAGAAACTCAAAATTCTTGTGATAAAGAATGCAAGTTTTTCTAAAGGCCTCGCATATCTCCCAAATAGTTTAAGGTGGTTGGAGTGGAAGAAGTACCCCTTTAGATTTTTACCGCTTGATTTTTGTCCAATGGAACTTGTCTATATGGACTTGTCCTCAAGTTATGTTGAATTGCTCCACTCATTTGATATGGTAAGAATGGTTGATTAGAATGCCTTTGTTTCTTTTTTGTAATTTTTAAATATAATTGTTTGCTAATGCTTTGCAGAAGTTCGAGAGTTTAAGACACATGGATTTTAAAAGTTGTAAGTTCTTACAACAAATACCAAACTTATCAAGAGCTTCTAATTTAACAGAGTTGTGTCTTGATGATTGTACAAGCTTAACTGAAATTCATGATTCTGTTGGAAGTTTAAGTAAACTCAAAAAATTAAGTGCTATGCGATGCAAAAACTTGAAGGTTTTACCACCTGGGCTTAATATGGCGTCTCTTGAACATCTCAACCTATTAGGATGTTCAAATCTACAATATTTCCCAGAAATATTAGTGAAGATGACAAAGATGAGAACACTTGATTTGGATAGGACAGCCATCGTAGAATTGCCATCTTCAATTTGTAAACTTGTTGGGCTTGAAATTTTAAACATGGAGGAGTGTCATCAGCTTAAGCAACTACCTGCTAGCATTTTCATTTTGCCAAACCTTTGGTCACTTTGCACAAGTCTTTGTCATGAGATGAGATATTTGAAGACAGATGAAGAAGAAGTGAGCATAGATGAAAGAAATGAGTCTTCAAAAATGGAATATTTTTATTTTTCAAATTGCAATTTGTGTGCTGACTCTCTTGCTCTGTGTCTTTCTTACTTCCCAAATTTGATACAATTAGACCTAAGTTATGGAGAATTCACAACTCTTCCTGCATGCATCGAAGAATGTTGCAAAATGAAAAGTCTTAACCTGGATAATTGCGAGCATATTCGATATATTTTAGGGATGCCGCCAAACCTAGAAAGATTTAGTGCCATAAATTGCAAATCATTGACTATGATTTCTAAAGGCAGAGTATTGGATCAGGTCTCTATTTGTTTCTTCAATTATGATATATATTTTTTACTTGTGTATCATTTATCATTATTTTTGTAATGTATGGCAGGCAGTCTTCACCAAACAAGGAAAATTAAACTATGTTTTGCCACAAAAAGAGTTCCCAGAAGAGTTAGTGCTCAACAAAGTTAGCGATTCCCCTCTATCATTATCAATTTGTGAAAAGTTCTCAATGATTCTAATATGGATTTTGATAATCAAGCCAAGAAGGTTTCAATGCTTCCATAACATGAATGCAAAAAGACCCATAAACAACACCAACCCTTATATCTCTGTGAGGATTGATGGTGTTAGCCAAAAAGTTCTTTCTGATCAGTGGTTCTCAACATTAAAAGTTAATCATTTATATATATTCGATCTATTCAGCATTATTAGCAAAGCTAAACTTGAACTTTCCCAATCATTCAAGTGGAATGGCCGCAATTGTGTGGAAATTTCCATCAAAGATAATAGTCGTTATACGCAAATTCATTTAGGAACTAACATAGCTGAACAAGGCATTAAGTTTGAGAAAAATTTGCAACCAGGTATATTTATTCTTGTCCATATTAGTTTATGCTTTACCATAGCTATATGCCTATTACATGTTTATACACTTTTACCTTGGTTATAAAATTATGAAGCTTTGATATGATCATATTGGCCTACTAATTTGTTGCTTGTAAAATACATAGTTTTACTGTTAAAATTAGCAATAATAATTAATGGCTATAATAATATATCATCTTTTGCACAAGGATGGAGACATGATGTATTTCTAAGTTTTCAAGCCAGTGATCATCGTTCCCGCTTTTTCAAGAACAAGTTATATGATGCCCTGTGTGAGAACAACATTAGGGCTTTCAATGCTAAATTTAAGAAGGACGAAGGTATTCTCCCAACTATGGCTAGAGCAATTGAGGATGCTAGGATTTCAATTATCGTATTCTCTTCATCCTATGCTGATTTCACATGGTGTCTTGACGCGCTTGCTATAATCATGGATTGTATGAAGACAAAGTGCAAATTGGTTTTCCCAATTTTCTACGAAGTAGACCCTTCAGAAGTAAGACATCAATCAGGAAGATTTGGATTAGCAATGTTTGAGCATGCAGAATATTTAAAGAATGACATAAAAAAGGTACAAAGGTGGAAGTTGGCTTTGTCTGAGGTAGCTCACTTGCTTGGTTGGAACTTAGGAAAAGGGTAAGTCTTTATGAATTCTTTCTTTGAAACCAAGAAATATTTTTTTTTTAGTGTTTGTTATGAGTTTTTCAAAAACATAACTACATAATTTCATTCTTAACTCATTTTATTATATTCAAATTTTGACTCATTTACTTTGTGCTTCTTGATGAATGCTTGCAATTGAGTAGGCGAAAGCTGGATAATGTTATCCCACGCATTGTTGAAGATGTTTCTCGTCGCCTTCATTTAGAACATTTAACAAAATCAATGGAGTTAATTGGGAACACAATGGATCATCGTGGTATTTTTTCCTCCATCCTCTTTTTGTGTAAACATTCATATTCTTTCTCATATTAAAACATACTTTGATTTAATGCCCTACTTTGAGAGAGGATATGTAGAGGATCCAAATTCCTGATAAACCCTATTAAAGTTTAAGTCCTTTTAAGTTAGCATCTCAAATAATTATGGACTTGATATGAATAAGATAAGGATCAATATAATAATTTAATAATAATACAAGATTTAAATATTTCAAAATTTCAATCAAAGGCTAAAGGTTCTTATATTTAAATCAATTGCAAATTATTATTTAGTTACTAGTAAATTGTGGGTTGTTTAATTTTCTACACAAGTAATCTCTGGCAATATCTGTTTCCTTGGTTTATGTCTGTTATAGTTTAACACATTATTAACTTGCAAATATTGTAGTTTAAGATTAAGTTATATCTTTAAATTTTCGTTCAAGTCAATCAATAATGCAGCAAAAAATGCCAATACTAATTGATGTAAATGGTGAGAGGAGGGGAAAAAGGGAGAAAGAGAAACGAGTGAAGAGAGAGAAGAAAAGGAAAAGAAAGGCTAAAACTCTTGAAAACTCTATTCAATATTTATCAAAAAGATGAATATAAATGAAGAACTCTAACTCTATTTGTAAAGCTCTAAAATAATGAAAGAACAACAAAATAATAAATCTAAATCTAATTCAAACTTGGATCATAATATATCTAAAATTAAAAGATAAGGATAAAGTATCTAGTTAGTCTGAATATCTTATTTTATTTGACATAATAAATAAATCCTAGAAAATGGTAAAATAAAACAAGAAATCCTAATATTAATATAAAATTCTTTATTCAAATATCCCTAATGAATAACTCAAATATGTTAAATTAACTTTAATTATTCTAATTATTCATTATCCCATATTTCATCATTTCTCCCCTGCTTGAAGAACTCATCTCTTGACAAATTAATGTTGATGCATGAATTGAGGAGGGATGGGTAGGATAAAATTTTAGTAGATATGTTAATTTAGAAATCCTTTCCAACAATTGAGATAATGATATATTGCATCATGTGGAATTGATTATTTTGAATCTTTGGAAAAGCTTTCTAATAGATAAGATACTGTTGAAACTTTCCATTAAGTGATAGGACATTTTTAGTAAGTACAACTTTTAGATTAGGTGAATTTATAGCGAGATGAAGTTGGTTTTGGCTGGCCACCACTTGGGAAGGTGTAACACTCCAAATTTACAAATTGATTTTTCCCTAATAAAAATAATAATTAGACAAAACTCAACTTCCAAAACACTTACCTTTGCAAAAAAGTAACTATCCTAATAGAAAGAGTCAAAAGTATTTCACCCTACCATGGTAGAAAAGACAAAGATATCATTATTTTAAAACCATACTATGGTAGAAAGGAGTCTACCATAGTAATTAAGAGTCAAACCAACTTAGAAAAGTATCACCATGGTAGAAATGGGTTTTCAAAAATAAAAATTAATTTCAGGTCAGTTGCCATGGTAAAAAAAGAGAGCTACTATAGTATAAAAGATTAAACATTACAAAATAGACCTACCGTGGTAATTTAGGAAGTTTCCTAATATAATAAAATTATACCAAATGGTAACAAAAAATTTCTAATCAAAGTGGTTTACCAAATGGGAACCCATATAAAATAAAATTTTCAAATTCAAAGTATTGAATTAAAACTCAAATAATGTTGAAGCAAGGTTTTTAAAGGCTAAATTGTCTAAACAAAGTTCTAAAAGGGGTAAAATAGTCAAAAAGAGCTTTTCTAAAAAGAAATAAATCAAAAGGGGAATTTTTGTAATTTTTGCATCGTTTGCCATGGTTCGACCTATTGTGTGTTACCTATGGCAAATGACGCAAAATATATAGAAAAAGCCCTTTTTGACTTATTTCTTTTTCAAAAAATTCTTTTTTTGCTATGACGGATGACAAAGAGTCATCCATGCCAAGGCCAAAGCAATGTTGGCTGTAACCAACACCACAATGTGTTAAGAAATTTTTGATATAATGAATAGCAACAATTTTCAAGCGAGTATAACTTCCTTTACAAATATTCAAATTAAGTGACTTAAGTGTTTACATAAAGCTTGTCACAAAATCTAGCTAAATGACTTTGGTTTGGCACAAAGATTCTTTATATGAGAATTTTATTCACAAAAACCAACACCAAAGCCAATGCCATGTGTGAACAACTTGACCACATTAAAAATATTTCAAACAATGTTTTACAACTCAACATTGATCATACAATTTAAATTTATCGATGGGTTACAACCTCAACATAATAATATCAAATAATTGGCATAATTTGTCATAGAGCATTCTCATATCCAAATCATACTTTAATCATGACAAATGAGACCATGAGAGTCAAAAACAAGTCCCATAGTTAACTTATACAAGTTTAATCAAAAGTATGGAGTCATATGCTCAATATACAAAACTATGCTCTTAGGTTGGCTTTTACATAACTAACAAAGTGAGGCCAACAAAAGAAGGTTAAATGTCCCATACACCAACCTAAGCCTCTAATGTTTCTTTGGCAGAACTTTTTCTTCTAAAAATGTTAATAACAAGAAATGAGCCATAAAGGTCCTAGTAATCGATACTAATATACCATAATACATACCATGCAATTAATCACGTGATTGCTAAATGAAGCATGCAAAACAATTTTCAAACAATTATTCAAAACAAATCCAAACAAAATAAACAAGAATGGATGACCATCAACTTTATCTCCTCCTTTCACCTAAGATCATAAAACTAGCACAAGCTATAACAAGCTACTTATTGCGTCTAATTGAGGGCGTATCATGTGTTAATAACTTCATTTCTGCACAATAACCTCCCACTTTCCATCCCAAACCCCAAACAAGTTATGCATATAAAATTTTTTCAACAAATAAAATTTTCAAACAATTAAACATGCTTCCAAACATGATAGCTTCATACTGAACATAATCATATAGAATTTTGATTCCATTAGTAGTACATTTTTCCAACCAATAATTATACATTTCCAAGCATGCCTTTTCCAAACAACAATTATTTTCAATAAAACACACACAACTAATTACACAACATATACCACAATATAAAAGTAGAGGTTACCTTTATTCCTTGCAATCAAATTTCCCCATAAGTGAATTCTCACCACCAACATTTTCAATACCACAATCTACATATATTACAATGCTAAACATAATTAATAATTTTGATTAATCACTAATCATTACCTAACCTTAGGGTTAGGTTATTTAATCTCATGACACAGTACACTCTCATACACTTTAATCATCAAACTTAATCATTCTCATCATCACTAAACTTAAACATTACTTATTTAACCTTTAAACCATTAATTAACACTGTCATTAATTAAATCTCATCGAGCTTCAGATTTAAGCATCCTATAACCATAAACATAATCAAAACTGCCTAAACAACACTCATATAACCTCAAAACAACCTTACGTTTGTACCCTTAGCTAGAACCTTAATTTATCATGAACCCTCACATTTTTTCCTAACTTAAATTAGATCAAGAGGAGGATTAGAGGGTAAGAGAAAGATTAAGTGGGTTACCTTAATGATTTAGAGCCCATAAAATGTGTAGGATTGATGCCTTTAGCAAATCTTAGTAGAGGGCCTTCAAAATCACACCAAAACCCCTCAGTACCACTCCTTTTGCATTTTGTTTCATGGCCCAAAATAAATTATAGTTTGTGATCATCATCACGACTCATGGCACAAAGGCACCAGCCTCACTTAAGCCCAATTTGTTAGGCCCAATATCTATTTTTGCAATTAACCGTCATACATGATCCTAAGCCTAGTTTTAATCATAATCATGTGCCTAATTATTTACATATCATCAATGATCCTTGAATTAACATAATTTCATAATTAAATTTCTAAGTAAAAATTAGGATGTTACAAAAGGTGCCACTTGTATAGTAAGTCAAGGAGCTTTTGCTGGAGCTTCTAAAAAGTGTTGGAGTGATCAAATCACTCTCATGATTAGGTTCTATAAGAGTTAGATTAGACTCCTCTGATTCTAATGCATGAGTTTCAACCTCTATTTTCTTACTAGCTAGATTTTGTTGACTAAGTAATTTTGTAATATGTTACAAAATCTTCTTTATATTTAATTTTAGTTAGATGTGCACCTTGTTGGAGTTAACATTCCAATTCAATGTCGGATTTATCCCCATGATGTTTAAATTCAACTATTCGCCTTTCTAGTGTAGCATCAAATCTCTCATCCTCAAGCATCTACTGTTCATACTAGACCTTGTGATATAATTGTGTAGATCTTTGATGTTTTTTTTACTAGTAACCTTCATGATATTGTGGGTGTCAAACACATCTAGGTGGGGTGCAATAATAATTTTGGCACTCCTTGCATGAGTAGTCATGGAAATAAAACATAATAAATTATGAATATAAATTTAAAAATTTCCCCTTGAATATTATTTGTGATGATCTGTAGTTTCAAGAAAGGTCTAGGTATTTTATGGATTTTAAATAAGAAGAGTAACATAGGGAAGAGAAATGGAACCTAGCCCTGATGCCAATTGATGTAAAATGGGGAGAGGGAAGGGAAGGGGAAAGGGAGAAGGAGAAAGGAGAAGAGAGAGAGAAAAAGGAGAGGAAGCAAAAACTCTCAGAAATTCTACAAAAAGCTAAATACAAATAAAAAATTAACCCTAGTTCTATTTATAGAGATCTAAAATAATAAAAGAATAAAAAAATCTAAATTTAATTCAAACTCAAATCGTAATCTATCTAAAATCAAAAGATAACAATAATGTATATATCAAGTTAATCTAGATACCTTATTTTATTTGAAATGATAAATAAATCGTAGATAATGATAAAATAAAGCAACAAAATTTTAATACTAATAGATAAATATCCTCTTTCAAATATTCTTAATGGATAATCCAAATATATTAAATTAACCTTAATTATTCTAACTATCCATTATCCAATATTCTATCACTAATATGGTAGTTTAAGATTCTTCATTATTGGCTTAGCAAATACATTAATTAGTAATGATAACTGAAGCATTGACTATTGGCTAGTAAGTTTCCATGCAATTTATTTGATTCGCTAAAGATGCATATCCATAAATTACATGATTGTATGGATTGTGTTTGTTTGTAAACTTATATCATCTTCTTTTGCGCAAGGACTGAGACATGATGTATTGATCCTGAGTTTTAAAGAAGTCTGCAGTGATTCAAACATTTTCGTGGACAATCTATATGATGCTTTGCATGAGAGCAATATTAATGCTTTCAAATATGTTGGGAGTTTTGGATGGAGGGAAGATTTGGGCCCAACTGCACTCAGGGCAATTGAAGAGTCTAGGATTTCAATTATTGTATTTTCTGAATTCTATGCATATTCTGCATGTTGTCTTGACGCACTTGTGATGATCCTTGATTGTATGAAAACGAAAAGCAAATTGGTTTTGCCCGTTTTCTACAATATAGACCCTTCAACAATAAGACAACAAACAGGAAGTTTTAAATTAGTAATGGCCAAGCATGAAGACAGATTAAAGGATAACATGGAAAAGTTAGAGAAGTGGGAGTTGGCTTTGTCTGAAGCAGCTCACATGCTTGGTTGGAGCTTAGAAAAAGGGTATGCCTCTACTTTTTTTAAATCAGAACTAGGAATATTATTGTAAATGAAAAGGAACACTGTATTCAAATCTTGACTTGTTTACTTTGTGCATATTAATGGATACTTGTAAATTGAGCAGGGAAGAAATTGATGTTGTCCCACGAATTGTTGAAGAGGTTTCTTGTCACATTCGTTTTGAACATTTAGTGAGCCTCCCAAGTCATCGTCAAGGTATTTTAGTGATCTTTGAACATTCGTTGATATTTTATTGGCATGTTTCTTAGTCAGGGCTTCCACTAATTGAATTATAAACAATTTTGCAATACATATGTTGACAGGGGAAGTGAACTAAAGTTTGTGATCAATATAGGTTGCGCTTAATCATGTTCGCTCTCAAATGATTATGGATTTAATATCAATAATTGGATACTTGTTTTACTACTTAAATATTGGGACTTGAGAGTACTTACATCAGAGTTTGGCCTCAACTCCCATCCTCATGTTTTGCCACCTATAAATAGATTGACATAATGGATAATGACTATATTTATCATCTGGAATATGATTTTTTTTAGAAAAATTATATATAGATCTCATGAAATTGACTTATTTACCAATAAATTTCATGAAATTTAGAACCACAATTAGGTCCCTTGGGATTTGGATGTAATTTAAAATTTAGGTAAAAAGTTAATAATGCCCCTATTAAACATATACACATTACATCAATCAAATAATTTACAATTATTTCATTAGTAATTTATATCTATGATTTTAACTTTTCATAACTGTAATTTTACATATCCAATAATTAAACTGATCAATTTAACTATTGAATATGTAAAATTACAGTTGTAAAAAGCTAAAATTATAGCCAAAAATTACTGATGACGTAGTTGTAAACAATTAATGTTAAACTTTATTAGTAATACATGATTATTTAACTGTTAACTATGTAAACTTACTATGTAAAAAGTTAAAATTGTAATTGTAAATTACTAATAAAGTAATTATAAATTAATTATTTGATTGATATAATGTATGTTTTATATGAGTATTATTGTCTTTGCAGCCCAATTTTAAATTATACTCAGATCTTAAAGACCTGACTATAGTTTCTAAATTTTGTGGGACTTAGTTGTGAACAAGTTTATTTCATGATACATATACATACTTTTCCCTTTTTTTAATATCAACAATTAGCTACTTATAATATATATATATATATATATATATATGTATATGTATATAGTCAAAACATACCAGAGGAGAAAGAGAAGGCAACAGCTGGCCTAGAAAAGGAGGAAACACTATGCAAGAGAAAGGAAGGAAGATGGAGCCATGAATGAAGGGTGCTGAAAAGGTGAATTTTCATTATTTTTTCATCTCTCCTAGTACATAGCCTATTTAAAAAAAATTAAGTATAGCTTTGATACTCTAATTTTATATAATATGTTACTTTAACCTCTTAATTTTATAAAATATATTTTCAATTCTTTAATACTAATACTATTAGTTTTAAATAATTATTTTTTGTGCTAATTTTTGCTATTTTTTTTAAAAATATAATATGTCAATATTTAAAAGTTTAATGTATGAATTTTTTGTTGATGAAACTAAGTGTTAGGATTTGTCATGTCCCAAAATTAGATATGATTGACACCGAATATATACATAAACATACATTCTTAGAGCCTCGATTAAAAAAAGTTCTGAATTAATATATTTGACACATTTTCAGCATGATTATATGTATTTAATTTTACTTTTCACATACATTAAAATTTCAAACTTTTTATAGAAATTTTAACAACACCTCATGTAAAAGTAAGAGCTCCTAGAATATCTATAATAGAATTTTACATTGTACATCGCTAGCAATGCAAAGCTCTGTTCTTTAACAACAGATAGACAATGTAACCAAAGAAACTTAGTACTCTAACTATAGTCAATGTGAAGCACTCTTAATAATCTCCAAAATATACTTCATAGATTTCTAGAATTTATATAAAAAGGAAGATATTTTCATAACTAATCTTTCAGTCAATTCAATAATAAACCCGTCAAAGGTCAGCAGGGGTACCATATTAGCTATACTATCTGAGACCAAATAAAAGTACTTATAAGTGAATAACGTCCTAATCATAACATTTTACATAATTAAAATGAATACAATACAATAGTTGCATAAATTAAATAAAAAAGCAATTCAATATAAATAAATTTATACACTTGGAATAAAAGTTCTATGAAACGTCACTATCAAGAAACTATAAATCTATAATGATAAAGCAACATCTAATATTTGATCTTGATAAATCAAAATGAATAAATAATAGAAAAGGATAACAATATTTACAAATTGAAAAAAACACCATTAAATATGAAATCACCAACTAATTAAAAATTAATATTTTTAGAGATTTATTAGAATAATTCACAAACATAGACATATAATCTACAAGAATAAGTAACCAAACGCAGCATGAACTATGAAACAAATGTGGATACACAGTCCACAAGGGTAATGCTAACCAAACGTGACTTGAAGCCATAAAAACAAACGAGAATATGAGACCTATAAATAATAAATATGAGAATAGAGGTCACAAAAACAAACTAGCTAATCATTGACCATGGCGTGCTAAGGCTAACGAGACTACTGTTAGCAACCAGTTGTCTGTATAAAATTCCCTTCGAATTCATTTTCAAAAATGTGAGAAAATTATCACTGTAAAAATATAACTTCCATTCTCAAAGTCAAACTTGTATGTATATTTTGGGCATTAAAAACTTGCCAAAATAAAATTTTGTAACTAATGTTCATGTTTGACATTATTGAGTGACTCAAAATTAACCAGAGTTAATAAAATAACCTCATCAATGTTGAAAACATCCTTCATAAGGAAAAAACACATACTCGCGCCATAATTCAAATATCCTTCAACATTTCTTTACAATTTCTCAAGATAAAAATAATTTAATTAATAAAGTATTAAATACGTAATGTAATTGTTGATAAATGATCTATGTAAAAGATTTTTTTTGAAAAAATTTTTATTAATAAATCAGTTAGGACGCTATTCACTTACTTGCACTGTTCTCGAAACTTAAAATTTACCCTTTGGAGCTTTAATCAAATTTTTTTTCCTCTAAACCCCCTAATCAATGAAAAGAAAATTTATTGACATTTATTCAAATTTAATAACTTCTATACCAATATTAATAACACTGTAATCAATTAAATTCTTAAATTTTATTCTCAAGCACATATATCTAAATTCTATTCAAAGATATATGCGCATGCACAATTTACAATTCAAAATCTATAGTTTAAATAAACTCAAAATAAAAAAGATAAATCTTAACTCCAGCATACCTAAAATGGTAAATCAATTATTCTATATATATATATATATATATATATGAGATCAAGATATACTTTTGTACTTAAGTTACCAATAGAAATATTCTCTTTAAAATTCTTTAATTCAAATTTCAACTTCCCTTATGGAAAATAATTACCTCCCATAACAATTTAATAATCAACAATACAATTATCACATTTATTGTCCACCATACACTAAAGTTCTTCCTACCAAGCATTTTACATGCATCAAATTTCAAGCCAATATCAAGCTTCTTTCTCCTCAATACTATACTATTATTATAAAAAAAAATAATTCCAATAACAATATTTAGTTCAGTTAGGATTCTCAAATCCTATCCTTTACGCACAAAAAATTCCGTTCTAAGCTCAAAGGAAAAACCAAACCACATCCATATTCATCTCCACTTGGTGGAATGCTTTGTTAAACTTCAAATTTCATTTTTACTCAAATCCCCTCTAACAAAAATCACAAACAGCAACTAAGTAAGGAAATAAAATTCCATTCTTCAGCCACTAAACACACATGGAAACAGCAATGGAGAAGAGACTCCAAATTCTTATCTCAACGATGATAGAAGCAGGAAGGAGGAGGTTTCGAATGTACGAAGAGGCAGGACAAAGAACATGAACTCTCATCCCAATCAAAGACACAGGAAACGGAAAGAAACAGAGGGAAATGTTTCAGCTCCTCCGCCTCTCAGCAGCAAGTATCAACTTGAAGAAGAAGAAGTACAAGAAGAAGAAGGAGGAGGAAGGGAAAGGGGGACATTCAACGGCAACAAAATGAGGGGGCAGAAGGCAAAGTTGATGGCAACCTCCGATGGCGTGAAACAGAGGAGGGAAGAAAGGGCCGAGTTCTATGAAACAGCAACAGTGCCCACCCACGTCGGCGACAGCGGCAGAAATGAACGGTGAAGAGATCGAAAGTCAGATAATGGAGAAACGTCTAGACGATACCTGAGCGCAAGAAACGGAAAGAAAAAAACATCTGATTGTGTCAATGGCACAATGGTAATTTCACTGTAAAGATTAAATTCAGGAAAAAGACAAAGAAAAAGCCCCTTTCTCGCCGTTCTAGGATTCGAACACAAGACCTAATGGGTGAATGTCAGCACCATTTCCACTGCGCTAACGTTCCGTTTTGAAGGTGTGTCTTCTAGAATTGAATAAAATTCAACCAAAATAGATAATTGTAATAAATTTTATTTTTATTCAAATTGTTGGGTTATTGCATGATTAAATGAATAAAAAAGCACTTTATAAAATTAAAAGACTAAAATAATTCATGCTTTTATCTTTTTCATACTAATGGGATAAAATATAATTACAGATTATTTTATTCAATTTTAAATTTTTCTTGTAACTAACATTATTAAATATATATAGTAATATAAAATTTTAAGCTACAATCAAATAAGGCACTTGAGTGAAATAAATCTGAAAATTTAGAATTAAAATTAAATACTTTGCTTGTATGATAAAGCCTTTGTAAAATTGCCTAAGAGAGAATGTGAATTGGGCTTTTTTTTTTGACAAATAATGCATAACACGAGGAGATAAGTTATGAACAATGTCAAATATTCTGAGAGTGAGAGAGAGAAGCTTGCACTAGAATTTATCCTGATTCAATTTCATCATTTGAGCTTACATGTAATCCCTAAGTTATACTTGAGATTTTCTTCACTTTACTCTATAAAGATTAATTCATGCTCTTAGTTATCACAGCGCAATCTCAAATTTCACATCTGAATCGCTCTCCCTTATAAAGGTAATATATACCCCTTTTAAGCTCTCCAAGCTTAAGTGCTCTATTTTAACTATAAGAAATAGGGATAAACAAAGTATATTTAAAAATAAACAACTACTGTTAATAACTTCTTGCTATGATTGGATTAATAATTAATGAAGATCAAATACAATGAATGAAATAATAGAAAGTTGGTTGAAAATTGAATGTGTAAGTTTGTGCAATAACTCTTCTGCATCCGTCTTTATAAATATGCCTATTTATAGTTGGAGTTGATAAATAATTTGTTAAACGCATTTAATTAGCTATTAGACTTGTCCTCTCTTTCTTCTGCTAGATTTCTTTGAAAGTATGGCAATGGCACAAAGTTTTTTGGTGGAGTTTTGCGCTCACGGCAAGTAAGAAATTATTACTATATACATTTATTGGCACTGCTTTGACAAAGGTAGGTAATGAATCCTAGTAGAATCAAATGCAATACAAGTAGAAAGAAGAGGTTAATAGTCAAGACGTGTTTGATTCAACCCAAGGATGTGTTGAGAATTTTTCTAGATGAGTAAAAAGACTAACACAACTCACATAAAGTAAAAGGAATGAAAAACAAGTTTGATTTAAAGCTCATGAGTTTTGGAACAAATAAGAGCATCATTATTGATATTAGTACAAGTAGAAATTTAAGAATACTGGTATTGTCAAGAACAATACATTAGTACAAAATATAAAATTTACGGGGTACTTTTTACATCGGTGGAAGGAAAACGATGTAAAAAATAAAGGCAATGGCATTTTTATAATTATATTGAATTATTTGATACTTTTTACATCGGGTGACTGGCCACCCGGTGTAAAAAGTGTTTTTTAAATTCCTTCTCTCCTTCCTCTATTCAGTTCTCCTCCCTCTCGCGCCCTCCCCCTCGTCTCCACTCCCTCGATGGCACCCTTTTCCCTCATCCACCCAGCCCCCTCCCCCTCTCTCGGTCGCCCCCTCCCCTCGTCCCCTTGCCTGCCCCCTCCCCATCCCCCTCGTCCCATTGCCCCCTCCCCCAAACCCTCCCTCACCACCCCCTCCCCCTCTCCCTCCCTCTTGCCCCCCTCCTCAGTGTCTCTGCCCTACCACCACTCCTTCTCCCTTCCTTACTCTCTTAGTGTTGAGCCATTGCTGCAGTTGCCGCCACCCAGATATGTGTTGAATATGAATTTTTAAATTTTATAATGCTTGAATTTAGTTTTTAATGATATTAATTGTTGTTGGGAGTGCTATTAGTGGCTTCATAAGGCCTCAGGTTGTTACATGTGATCATTTATTTGGTTTAAAATTGTTAATTTTCTCTTGTAAATTTTTTTAGAAGTCTTGGGAGATCCAATTTTTAGGGGAGACTCTGCCAAAAATTTTTCAAATCTTAATTTAATTAGGAACTTAGTTTTTTGAAATAGTTTGAAGGTAATAACATTAGTTATATTCTTTAGGAGGTGACACATAGATCGTAGTTGGATGAATGTTAGACAAACGAGTGATGAGTATGATAATGGGGTTAAAGAATTTTTAGAATTTGCTAAGAAAAATACTGTTGACAATAGTAAAAGGTTCTATTGTCCTTGTGTTAATTGTTTGAATGAGAGGAGACTAGGTGTTGCCGAAATAAGAGAGCACTTAGTTTGTGATAGGATTTGCAAAAATTATATAATATGGATTTGGCATGGTGAATGATTGAAAAATTATAGTAACACATCTCAATGTGTGGGAGTTGATAATTTTGATGATGAAGTAGAAATGAATGAAGATCGGTTAGAGGACATGATCCATGATGTTGGGGAAGAGGCTTTTGAACGAGCACATATGTATGATAACTTGTGCACTGACACAGAGAAGCCTCTATACCCAGGGTGCACTGATTTTAGTTTGTTATATAGGGTGTTAAAACTAGTTACCTTAAAGGCAAGAGCTAGGTGGAGTGACCAAAGTTTCACATGGTTGTTAGAGTTACTTTAAATAATTTTTGAAAGGCAATGCACTACCAAATATTGTTATAATGCCAAGAAGATCTAGTGTCCAATGGGTATGAAGTATAAAAAAAATACACGCATGTCCTAATGATTGTGTGTTGTACAGAAAAGAGCTTGAAGTGGAGGAGAAGTGTCCGAAATGTGAGGTACCATGATACAAAGAGAAGGGGGCTCCTATAAAGGTCTTATGGTATCTTCCAGTTATACCAAGGTTCAAGCGTTTGTTGCAAATATTAATGATGTAAAGAACTCGATGTGGCATGCAAATGAGAGGATATCTGATGGAAAGCTTCGACATCCAGCTGATTCTCCTCAATGGAAGAAAATTGATCAATTGTTTCCCGAATTTGGCAATGAGTCAAGGAACTTGAGGCTTGGACTTTCTACCGATGGAATGAATCCTTATGGTAGTCTTAACAGTATACATAGCTCATGGCCTATTCTTTTGGTGATTTACAATCTATCACCTAGGTTGTGTATGAAAAGGATGTACATGATGCTATCCATGTTGATTTTGAGACCAAAACAACTGAGAAATGATATTGATATTTACCTAAGACCTTTGATTGAAGATTTGAAAGTATTGTGGGAGGTAGGTGTGGAAGTGTTTGATGCAAATCAGAAGGAGAATTTTAAATTACGTGCTATGATCTTTTGTACTATAAATGATTTTCCTACATATGGAAATTTTTCTGGTTATAGCATGAAAGGTCATAAAGCTTGTCTAATTTATGAAGAAAGTACAAACTACCATCAACTTCAACATGGAAGGAAGACAGTCTACCTTGACCATCGGAGGTTTCTTAAATGAGATCACCCATATCGTAGATTGAAGAAAGCTTTTCATGGTCACCAAGAACACAATGATGCTCTAGATGCTTTGACTGGGGATCAAGTATATGAATGTGTGAAAAACATTAATATTGTCTTCAGTAAGACTAAAAAGAATTCTGGTGTAAAAAGCATATGGAAAAAAAGATCTATCTTTTTTGACCTCCCATATTGGCACAATCTTAAGTAAGGCATTGTATTGATGTTATGCACGTGGAGAAAAACGTGTGTGATAGTATTATTGGAACACTTCTGAACATACCATGTAAGATTAAGGATGGTGTGAATACAAGATTGGATTTGAAAGAAATGGGAATACGGGAAGACTTACACCCAAGACCAGAAGGTAAACGAACTTATTATCCCCCAACCTCTCATACATTGTGCAAATATGAGAAAACAAGTTTTTGTGAGTATTTACATGGAATCAAATTTCCTGCGGGGTATTCTTCAAATATTATGAAGCTTGTATCTGTGAAAGAGTTGAAACTGGTAGGCTTAAAATCTCATGATTGCCATGTCTTAATACAATAGCTATTATCTTTGGCTATTCGAGGCATATTGAAAGAAGATTTAAGACTTACAATAACTAGACTTTGTTTCTTTTTCAATGCTATATACAGTAAAGTTATTGATCCCCATAAACTGGAAGAGTTAGAACAAGAAGCTTGTACTATCTTGTGCCAACTTGTGATGCACTTTCTTCTTATATTTTTTTTAACATTATAGTTCACTTAATAGTGCATCTAGTAAGGGAGGTAAAATTGTGTGGCGCTATTTATTTGCGATAGATGTACCCAGTTGAGAGATACATGAAAATACTAAAAGGGTATGTCAGAAATCCATTTCGACCTGAAGCATCGATAGTTGAGAAATATGTTGCTGAAGAAGCTATGGAGTTTTGTTCTGATTACTTGTCAAGTATAGAACCAATTGGAATTCCTAAATCTCGTTATGAGAAAAGGCAATATGGTTAAGGCACACGTGGAGTATCAGTAAAGAGCATGAATCATGATGAATTACAAGAAGTACATTTATATATCTTAAATAATATTGATGAAGTTA